CAGGAAAATGTGAAAAAATGCGCTACTTTCATTAATTTGACGAGTGCATTCAGAAGTCCACAGAAACCGAACTAGACTGGTCCAAAAAGATACGTGGAAATGCATCTGGAATTTAAATTTGGTTCAAGAGCGACTTTTGGACCACAGAGAGAGACAAGTGAGAGACCAAAGAGAGACAAATGAGAGAGACCAGAGAGAGACCAAGGAGAGAGACCAGAGAGAGAGAGAGACCAGAGACTGTGAGCGACCAGAGAGAGACCAAGGGGAGAGACCAGAGAGAGAGAGACCAGAGAGAGAGAGAGAGACCAGAGACTGTGAGCGACCAGAGAGAGACCAAGGGGAGAGACCAGAGAGAGAGAGACCAGAGAGAGAGAGAGAGACCAGAGACTGTGAGAGACCAGAGAGAGACCAGAGAGAGACCAGAGAGAGAGACCAAAGAGAGAGACCAGAGAGAGAGAGAGACCAGAGACTGTGAGAGACCAGAGAGAGACCAGAGAGAGACCAGAGAGAGACCAGAGAGAGAGACCAAGGAGAGAGACCAGAGAGAGAGAGAGACCAGAGACTGTGAGCGACCAGAGAGAGACCAAGGGGAGAGACCAGAGAGAGAGACCCGAAAGATTGACCAGAGAGAGTGACCAGAAAGAGAGACTAGAGAGAGACCAAGGAAAGAGACCAGAGAGAGAGACCAGAGAGAGAGACCCAAAAGAGTGACCAGAGACCTGGTTTTTGAAACATATATTTTTAATTAATTGTTGTTTTTAACCAGAATGAATGAAAAGCGCTCTATAGATAAAATAAAAATAAAATAACTTCTACTTCCTGTTTTATCTGACCTCATTCCTATTTGTTAATCAGATTTCAGACTACTATAATCCGTCATCTCCATATCCATGTGCACTCCTCTTCCGCCTCTGCCCCGGGGCGGCTGTGGCTGTGATTTTCCCGCTCATTGCACCTTCTGGACGCCTGAACACCCTCGGGTGGTCCTCATGTCTGCAGCCGCGGCCACATGCGCCCCTCGAGAGTGACTTAAATAGATACAGTCTCTGCCTTCAGATTTGGAGACCCAGGGACCGCTCCAGGGAACCATCTTCTCTGCTCAGTCACCGCCATTTTAGGACCGTTTTATAGTTTATTACGATGTCTTTAAAGGAGCTATACCTGTTTCTGTAACTCGCTCACAGGCTTCTCATTTTCTCTACGCTCTCATTCCACAGAGCCATCTAGTTTTATTTGCGATCTATATGCTAACATTAGCATTAGCACAACTTCTTGTAAGCTGTACAACAATCACTGATGAAATGATACAAAAGCAACGCACTGCTAACTAAATATATAACTGAAAGATTACAGCTAGTTACACGTCTGAGCACAGATAGTCCGAGCGTAGATATTCCGAGCGTAAATAGTCCGAGCGTAAATAGTCCGAGCGTAAATAGTCCGAGCGTAGATAATCCGAGCGTAAATAATCCGAGCGTAAATAGTCCGAGCGTAGATAGTCCGAGCATAGATAGTCCGAGCGTAAATAGTCCGAGCGTAAATAGTCCGAGCGTAAATAGTCCGAGCGTAGATAGTCAGAGCGCAGATAGTCCGAGCATAAATAGTCCGAGTGTAGACAGTCCGAGCGTAGATAGTCCGAGCGTAAATAATCCGAGCGTAAATAGTCCGAGCGTTGATAGTCCGAGCGTAAATAATCCGAGCGTAAATAGTCCGAGCGTAAATAGTCCGAGCGTAAATAGTCCGAGCGTAGATAATCCGAGCGTAAATAATCCGAGCGTAGATAGTCCGAGCGTAGATAGTCCGAGCATAGATAGTCCGAGCGTAGATAGTCCGAGCGTAGATAGTCAGAGCGCAGATAGTCCGAGCATAAATAGTCCGAGTGTAGACAGTCCGAGCGTAGATAGTCCGAGCGTAAATAGTCCGAGCGTAGATAGTCCGAGCGTAGATAGTCCGAGCGTAGATAGTCCGAGCGTTGATAGTCCGAGCGTAGATAGTCCGAGCGTAAATAGTCCGAGCGTAGATAGTCCGAGCGTAGATAGTCCGAGCGTAAATAGTCCGAGCGTAGATAGTCCGAGCGTAGATAGTCCGAGCGTAGACAGTCCGAGCATAGACAGTCCGAGCGTAGATAGTCCGAGCGTAGATAGTCCGAGCGTAGATTGTCCGAGCGTAGACAGTCCGAGCGTAGACAGTCCGAGCGTAGATAGTCCGAGCGTAGATAGTCCGAGCGTATATAGTCCGAGCGTAGATAGTCCGAGCGTAGATAGTCCGAGCGTAAATAGTCCGAGCGTAGATAGTCCGAGCGTAGATAGTCCGAGCGTAGATAGTCCGAGCGTAGATAGTCAGAGCGTAGATAGTCCGAGCGTAGATAGTCCGAGCGTAGATAGTCCGAGCGTAGATAGTCAGAGCGTAGATAGTCCGAGCGTAGATAGTCAGAGCGTAGATAGTCCGAGCGTAGATAGTCCGAGCGTAGATAGTCCGAGCGTAGATAGTCAGAGCGTAGATAGTCCGAGCGTATAGTCAGAACCACTTTTGGACCAAGCTGTGAAGACGATTATGAAGAGGAAAAAAGACGCCATACAAAAGGATTGGATAATTCTCCTTCCGGGTACACCCCCACAGACCTCAGTAGACCCTCATTTATAAGGCATTAACTTAATATTCAAAGATACATATTGACTGGTTGAGTAGAAAAGCCCAAGAGTTATGTTAAGTCCTGCAAGACGATGCTGTTGTGATTTAGGAAAACTCCAAAATAAATTGAGTTGATTTGTAATTTTTCTATAAATTATTTTAACAATGGATGAACAAGGAACAAAAAAGGATGAGAAGGGGTTAAATTATGTGTAAATTATTAGATTGCGACAGTAGCTCAGTTGGTAGAGCATTGGCCTTCAGGCCTGAAGGTCGTGGGTTCAATTCCCACCTCCACACCTTCTCCGGCTCCCACTGATGACTGCTGTCGTTGTGTCCTTGGGCAAGACACTTAACCCCACTTTGCCCAAAGCCCCCACTGAAAGATCAAGGCTATGCTCACACTCAGAGAGCAGCCGTCCTCCTGTGGACTCACCACCTGCAGAGGGTCAGTGAGGGGCTGGTGCTATGAGACTTGGGTGGCATCTCTGACTGCCACCCCCCTGACCCAGAAATGGATTAAAGGGAAGAAAATGGATGGATGGATATTAGAATGATAAAGCTTTGACTTTTTAAAGTGCCTTTGACGGGTTTAGTGCCTGTCACAGAACTAGACTAACGAGGGTTAAAGAGTTGTATTTAATTTACTCATCGAGAATTAGTTCAATTACTGCAAAAGGATCATTCGTGTCAAGTCTCTGTTCTCATCTGGTCCAGGCCAGAGCAGAGAGGATTCATGGTTTTACACTGGTCCAGACCAGAGCAGAGAGGGTTCATGGTTTTACACTGGTCCAGACCAGAGCAGAGAGGATTCATGGTTTTACACTGGTCCAGACCAGAGCAGAGAGGATTCATGGTTTTACACTGGTCCAGACCAGAGCAGAGAGGGTTCATGGTTTTACACTGGTCCAGACCAGAGCAGAGAGGATTCATGGTTTTACACTGGTCCAGACCAGAGCAGAGAGGATTCATGGTTTTACACTGGTCCAGACCAGAGCAGAGAGGATTCATGGTTTTACACTGGTCCAGACCAGAGCAGAGAGGATTCATGGTTTTACACTGGTCCAGACCAGAGCAGAGGATTCATGGTTTTACACTGGTCCAGACCAGAGCAGAGAGGATTCATGGTTTTACACTGGTCCAGACCAGAGCAGAGAGGATTCATGGTTTTACACTGGTCCAGACCAGAGCAGAGGGGATTCATGGTTTTACACTGGTCCAGACCAGAGCAGAGGGGATTCATGGTTTTACACTGGTCCAGACCAGAGCAGAGAGGATTCATGGTTTTACACTGGTCCAGACCAGAGCAGAGAGGATTCATGGTTTTACACTGGTCCAGACCAGAGCAGAGAGGATTTATGGTTTTACACTGGTCCAGACCAGAGCAGAGGATTCATGGTTTTACACTGGTCCAGACCAGAGCAGAGAGGATTCATGGTTTTACACTGGTCCAGACCAGAGCAGAGAGGATTCATGGTTTTACACTAGTCCAGACCAGAGCAGAGAGGATTCATGGTCCAAGTGGATCAGGCCAAACCCAGGAGGAGAAATGCTAACTTTATGAAAAATGCTAATAAAGAATGTAGCATTTGACTCTGAAAAATATGCAACAAATAACTGTGAGTGCAACAGCGCCACCTACAGGAGCTTCAAAGTGTTGTGTGTTTTCCATCTAGTCTGTAGTTTTTCATCACACAGACTTCTACCACATAATGTCTCCATCTGGAAAGATTGAAGTTATAAAATCATCATATAATGCGAGGTGGTGGGGAATTTCTCCATGTATGATGCTCTCCGGGCCACAGGCTCAGACCTACAGAGCTGAAACTCACATCACTAACAGTTGGAAATGGCCTGAGCGTAACGGTGTGAAAATACACACCTAATATGACTCTAGAGCGCCACCTACAGGGGGCTCCCGACCTACACTTATCCTCACCTAAGTCCCACAGTCAAATCTTTACATCTGTGCGAGTAACATACTACATTAGTCTGCTTTAGATCTATCTATCTATCTATCTATCTATCTATCTATCATTTATCTTTGCAGTAAATTAAACTAATATGAGGCCAATCCAATTATGTATTGTTATTATTCTAAACCTAAATGTGTTATGCATTATTTTATATATTATAGTGCATTATTTTCAACAATGATAATATTCTTTTATAGTGCATTATAGATATTGTTAATATTCTTGCAGCTGGGCCCATGTGTTGTGCTCTCTCAGTTTGGAGGCTGTGACCAGAGGAACAAATGTAAATGTGCGTCTATTTAAAGATTGTTGTGATTCATTATCTCGTGTTACACAAGAACAAGCCCCGGAATGAGGACAAATGACGAAACATGGACAATGACATTTAGACAATCAGACGAGAGCTTCAGGACCGAGTTCAAGGCCGTGGTTCAGGATACGAGGGGAGAGAGACAGGGTGAGGAGCTCGGGGTAGAGCCCATGGTTCTGGATACGAGGGGAGAGAGACAGGGTGAGGAGCTCGGGGTAGAGCCCATGGTTCAGGATACGAGGGGAGAGAGACAGGGTGAGGAGCTCGGGGTAGAGCCCATGATCAAGAGGAGACATCTGTCTTGGACGCCTGTCTGTGGAGGCGGTGGATGTCTCACCAGTGAAATGTACTTTACAGACTGTTTTTGTTAATCTCAGATAATCCTTCACACAGAGACGATTAGTCCAGGGGTCTCCAAACTGTGGCTTCTATGCTACCAGTAGATTCAAGATTTTAACACATTAATCTGAATTATTCCCTTTTGAGTTGTTACATTCTGTTTAACTATAATATTTCCATGAATATAGAGACACTGTACAGAATAATTGTATATTATTGTGTTCTCCATAATCAGCTGTAGTTATTTTAAAAACCACGACTGCTAAAATGAGTAGCTCTCTGCCATTTCTGTTTTCTAAAAGCAGCTCTAAATCAATAAAGGTTGGAGACAGTGGATTAGTCTGTCCCTGAAGCTGCTCTCTCTCTGTGATGTCACACAACACTTGGACCATACAGGCTGATGCCATTGGAGTCTTGGAGGAAGCTCAGGAGAAGCACAGATCCTTTGTGGTTCACTTTGAAACTTCACTATGAGCACTTCTATTCCACATGCTTTTGTACCATTTCATCAGAAGCCTGTGAGTGAGTTGGGGGCGGGGCTAAACATTCAGACCTTACAGAAACAGCTCCTTTAACATTCACGGACACTGGACACCTCGCTCCCTATGGACTAATTCTCTGATCTGTTGTTAAGGAATCGACAACTTTGCAGAGTCCTCCGATATGACAGTTGTTGAGATTCAGGGCTATACTAAAACTATTTAAAGACCTTATGACGGGTTTGATTTATTTAGAAATACAGTTTTAATACCATTTTATATTAGAAGAGAACTACTAAAGGTTTCAAAATCAGTTGTTGTTTTTTTTGTCTGATCCCCCCAAATCGAAATAACCCCATAGCAACGCCCTTAGAGACAAAAAAACTTCACAGCCCTTGGTGACGTCAGAACGGGTATGTTTCAACGCTGTAAGTTGTTTACAATTTGGTATTCGTTCTTTTTTTGCGGATATTCAAGATGACAAGGCCGTGTACAGCGTGTATAAGATAACTACTAGAATGTATCATTTCATTGTCACTGAGATAGTCCAGTGGTTGTGTCGATGGACTGTCAATCCAGATACTTGGGTTCAAATCCCACCTCGGACACTTTCTCACACTCAAAACGGCAACTTATGTGTAGTGAGCAATTGTCACCTGTAGAGGGCAGTATTGTGTTGGGCACCAGTGGAGAGAAGAGAGAAAAGGCAGTCCTGTGGCATAGATCCATGGTTTTCAATGCATGGGCGTTACCCGCTGTGACGTCACACACAGGTTAGAGCATAGACAACTTAAATTCATGAAAAACACCTTCTTTTTATAAAATATAGGATTTTTTTTGCCGGAATCTCTTTCAAATTGACATTGTCATGCAATTTTGATATCCACTATTTTTTTTTTAAAAACCCGTCATAAGGTCTTTAATTGAATTGAAAGAATACTGGAACTTGCCTTTAACGATTTATCAGCATAACAACAAAGCACAGACATAGCAGCAGATCATGGCAGCGTTTTCAGACCAGGCTTTGCGGTCGGCGCCAGTTTAAAAAAGACGACCGGAGGGGAAAAGTGAAGACACATAACTTTCGACAGCGGAGAGATAGGTTTCACTTTGTCCGTTAATATTTACAGCCTATGACAGGTCCTCAAAAGTTAAACCAGAAGTTTCCACATTCTTTAGCTGCCTATAGGAGCGAGACACTAGCACAAAGTTTTAAAAATGAAATCCAGCAAAATAAACAGCCTGAGCAAGGACACGTCCGCCTCCCACTGACACAGATCTCCAAACCTCACCTGGTCCTCCTTAACTCATTGACTGCCAGCCATTTTTGATGATTTCACTGTTTTTCAAGACCCACAGAATATTATTTCCTAGGACTATGTGAAATATGTAACCAGATTCTGAAAGACTGGATTGTCTACTTTCATCAGCAAAAATAAATTTGTTTCTAGCTGTTTTTATTGTCCTGTAATCCCCGGTCGAATAGAGGGTCTCAGACAAATACGTCAATGGCAGTCAATGAGTTAATATTCAGAACCATGTGTGTGCGATAAGGAAACACAAATGAGTCCAGGACCCGCTGTTTGCCAAATGTTTGGTGACGGTTCTCTCTGTGAGCGGCTCAGTCTGTGAGAGGGACTTTAATTGTATTGTCGAGTTCATTGGTTCCCCTTCTCTGCGTGTTCTGAGAATTGGTGTGGGCCCATTGTGCGTAAGACGAGCGTTTAAACACACACACTTTTTAACCCTCGCACTTGATCAAAGTGTCGGAAACAGCATTACCCAGAAGCCCCAGGGCCAAGGGCGAGGCAAGCTGCGTCTGCTGCGTCCACATGAGCCAAAGGCATATTTACTGTAAAGGAGACTAAAGACACACACACATATACACGTACGCACAAACACACAGGCACATACACGTACGCACAAACACACACACACATATATACACGTACGCACAAACACACACACACATATACCCGTACGCACAAACACACACACATATACACGTACGCATAAACACACACACATATACACGTACGCACAAACATACACATACAGGTATACACACACATGCACACTCGCACACACACACACACACACATGCACATATACACGTACGCACAAACACACAGGCACATACATACAGGTATACACACACACACGCACACACACACACATGGACACGCGCACATACACTTATGCACAAATACACACACACACACACACACACAGCTAAATCAGCTCCCCTTTTGCATCTTGAATTGTACACACTTACTTCCATTATTTTTCGGCAATTACACACACACACAGGCACACAGATACACACACACATGCACACACACAGGCACACAGATACACACACACATGCACACACACAGGCACACAGATACACACACACACACACACACACATACCATTGGAATACCCCCAGTTTTCAGGGTAGCTCTACAATTCTTTAGGCCAGAATAACCATGATTCTCTGATGTAACGTCAAATGCCCATTTATCTTATGGCAGCTCTAACTCCAGCTCTAACTCCAGCTCTAACTCCAGCTGTAACTCCAGCTCTAAAACTCCAGCTCTAACTCCAGCTCTAACTCCAGCTCCAACTCCAGCTCTAAAACTCCAGCTCTAAAACTCCAGCTCTAACTCCAGCTCTAACTCCAGCTCTAACTCCAGCTCTAACTCCAGCTCTAACTCCAGCTCTAACTCCAGCTCCAACTCCAGCTCCAACTCCAGCTCCAACTCCAGCTCCAACTCCAGCTCCAACTCCAGCTCTAACTCCAGCTCTAACTCCAGCTCAACTCCAGCTCTAACTCCAGCTCCAACTCCAGCTCCAACTCCAGCTCCAACTCCAGCTCCAACTCCAGCTCTAACTCCAGCTCTAACTCCAGCTCTAACTCCAGCTCTAACTCCAGCTCTAACTCCAGCTCTAACTCCAGCTCAACTCCAGCTCCAACTCCGCTCAACTCCAGCTCTAACTCCAGCTCTAACTCCAGCTCTAACTCCAGCTCCAACTCCAGCTCCAACTCCAGCTCCAACTCCAGCTCAACTCCAGCTCCAACTCCAGCTCCAACTCCAGCTCCAACTCCAGCTCTAACTCCAGCTCTAACTCCAGCTCTAACTCCAGCTCTAACTCCAGCTCTAACTCCAGCTCTAACTCCAGCTCCAACTCCAGCTCCAACTCCAGCTCTAACTCCAGCTCCAACTCCAGCTCCAACTCCAGCTCTAACTCCAGCTCTAACTCCAGCTCTAACTCCAGCTCTAACTCCAGCTCTAACTCCAGCTCTCCAGCTCAACTCCAGCTCCAACTCCAGCTCTAACTCCAGCTCTAACTCCAGCTCTAACTCCAGCTCCAACTCCAGCTCCAACTCCAGCTCCAACTCCAGCTCCAACTCCAGCTCTAACTCCAGCTCTAACTCCAGCTCTAACTCCAGCTCTAACTCCAGCTCTAACTCCAGCTCTAACTCCAGCTCTAACTCCAGCTCTAACTCCAGCTCAAACTCCAGCTCTAACTCCAGCTCTAACTCCAGCTCTAACTCCAGCTCCAACTCCAGCTCTAACTCCAGCTTCCAACTCCAGCTCCAACTCCAGCTCTAACTCCAGCTCTAACTCCAGCTCTAACTCCAGCTCTAACTCCAGCTCTAACTCCAGCTCTAACTCCAGCTCCAACTCCAGCTCCAACTCCAGCTCTAACTCCAGCTCTAACTCCAGCTCTAACTCCAGCTCCAACTCCAGCTCTAACTCCAGCTCCAACTCCAGCTCCAACTCCAGCTCCAACTCCAGCTCTAACTCCAGCTCTAACTCCAGCTCTAACTCCAGCTCTAACTCCAGCTCTAACTCCAGCTCTAACTCCAGCTCCAACTCCAGCTCTAACTCCAGCTCTAACTCCAGCTCTAACTCCAGCTCTAACTCCAGTAAATCCACCTCTGTCTAATTACATCATGTATTTGTTTTGATTCTTTGTGTTTGCAGGGTTGGTCAGTGGTGACTCAAGGCCATGATTGTGGAACTGTGTGATTGGTCAGAACTTAATTTAACTTGTGTGAAAGTTTGAAAGCCGCAGGGAGCAGGATTATATTATGTTTCTTATCTCTTCAAACACCTCGGTGGACTTCAGTCTGACAATGGGGCTCTGAGGGGAATTCAAAGTCAAATGTCAAAATAAGTCGGAGAGGCGGCCGATCTAATCCGAATCTGCTTTTGTTACTAAAGAAAGTGAATGGAGGGTATCGAGTCCACATGTGCCTCAGACATGAACTCAGTGACAACAATGGATTTTGTGCAAGAATAATGAATGTTCTCGCTCAGGGTTTAGACAAAAATCACAATAGTTTTGAAATCATACGCTGTGTTTTGTATAAAGTAAAGAAGGAAGCAGCTCAGTAAATGTATGCGCCCACAAAAAGCTGAAAAAACAGCCTATTTCAGCTGAGAGAATTGTAATGTATGTGCCAGGCCTGAGGGTGGCGCTGTGGGGCTGCGACAGGAAACACCAAATCAGACAAAAATGTGGAGAAACAGTTTTGATGGACTGAACAGAGATTTGAATAATTCTGCGGTGGATTTATTATTTACATATTTCCGTCATGAGCTCATCGGTTTTAACCACAAACTGTAAATATTAACGTACAGTAGTCACACCTGTCTCCGCCGTTCTAACCAATGTGCCACAACTTCTGCGGTCTATGGGCAGTTTCAAAATGGCCGCAGGGGCTGAAAATGTGAAAGAACACATCTGTGCATGCGTCAGCTATACGAGCTCCATTCATTTAAACGAGAGACTTCTAAAGTCCACAGCGACTTAACTAGACTGGTCCAGAACCAGTGTTGTGCGTGAACGAGTTCAAAAGAACGCGTTCATTGAACACGCTCATTTTTTCGTGAACGTTGAACTGAACGCAACACATTTTTTAAAAAAGAACTTGAACGTGAATTTGTTCATTTTATGTGTCATGAACGGCAGACATCACTATGAACGTTGGAATCTGTTTTCTCTTTTGAAACGCAACGAGAGAAAGTTCCTCCCTCCTGTATTCTTGCACTTTTTCCGCCGAAATCTAAAAATTCCTACGGTTTCCACCGTCTGTGAACGCACCCCGACTCTGTGTTGCGGTGCGGCGCTGTGAGCTGGTGCTTTCCACATGTGCCCGAGTCGTGATGAAAACACAGGGTGAGTTAGCGACAAAGTTTACACCGTTTACATTTGACATAAAGTACAGACACAGCACTGCAGCGCATTACTGTCTGTAGTTTATGAGCATAAAGTACAGACACAGCACTGCAGCGCATTACTGTCTGTAGTTTATGAGCATAAAGTACAGACACAGCACTGCAGCGCATTACTGTCTGTAGTTTATGAGCATAAAGTACAGACACAGCACTGCAGCGCATTACTGTCTGTAGTTTATGATCATAAAGTACAGACACAGCACTGCAGCACATTACTGTCTGTAGTTTATGAGCATAAAGTACAGACACAGCACTGCAGCGCATTACTGTCTGTAGTTTATGAGCATAAAGTACAGACACAGCACTGCAGCGCATTACTGTCTGTAGTTTATGAGCATAAAGTACAGACACAGCACTGCAGCACATTACTGTCTGTAGTTTATGAGCATAAAGTACAGACACAGCACTGCAGCACATTACTGTCTGTAGTTTATGAGCATAAAGTACAGACACAGCACTGCAGCACATTACTGTCTGTAGTTTATGAGCATAAAGTACAGACACAGCACTGCAGCACATTACTGTCTGTAGTTTATGAGCATAAAGTACAGACAGCACTGCAGCACATTACTGTCTGTAGTTTATGATCATAAAGTACAGACAGCACTGCAGCGCATTACTGTCTGTAGTTTATGATCATAAAGTACAGACACAGCACTGCAGCGCATTACTGTCTGTAGTTTATGATCATAAAGTACAGACACAGCACTGCAGCGCATTACTGTCTGTAGTTTATGAGCATAAAGTACAGACACAGCACTGCAGCACATTACTGTCTGTAGTTTATGATCATAAAGTACAGACACACACACTGCAGCGCATTACTGTCTGTAGTTTATGAGCATAAAGTACAGACACAGCACTGCAGCACATTACTGTCTGTAGTTTATGATCATAAAGTACAGACACAGCACTGCAGCGCATTACTGTCTGTAGTTTATGAGCATAAAGTACAGACAGCACTGCAGCGCATTACTGTCTGTAGTTTATGAGCATAAAGTACAGACAGCACTGCAGCGCATTACTGTCTGTAGTTTATGAGCATAAAGTACAGACACACGCACTGCAGCGCATTACTGTCTGTAGTTTATGAGCATAAAGTACAGACACAGCACTGCAGCGCATTACTGTCTGTAGTTTATGATCATAAAGTACAGACACAGCACTGCAGCGCATTACTGTCTGTAGTTTATGATCATAAAGTACAGACACAGCACTGCAGCGCATTACTGTCTGTAGTTTATGATCATAAAGTACAGACACAGCACTGCAGCACATTACTGTCTGTAGTTTATGAGCATAAAGTACAGACACAGCACTGCAGCGCATTACTGTCTGTAGTTTATGATCATAAAGTACAGACACAGCACTGCAGCGCATTACTGTCTGTAGTTTATGATCATAAAGTACAGACACAGCACTGCAGCGCATTACTGTCTGTAGTTTATGATCATAAAGTACAGACACAGCACTGCAGCGCATTACTGTCTGTAGTTTATGAGCATAAAGTACAGACACACACACTGCAGCGCATTACTGTCTGTAGTTTATGAGCATAAAGTACAGACACACACACTGCAGCGCATTACTGTCTGTAGTTTATGAGCATAAAGTACAGACACACACACTGCAGCGCATTACTGTCTGTAGTTTATGAGCATAAAGTACAGACACACACACTGCAGCGCATTACTGTCTGTAGTTTATGAGCAGAGATGAAGCAACTCTGTTTGGCTCCCATTGAAAACCATGTAAATCTGGTCTGTTTTGTGGTCAAGAGGCTCTCCTCCTGTGGGTGTACAGGACATATATATATATATACACATATATATATATATATATATATATATATATATATATATATATATATATATATATATATATATATCTATCTATCTATCTATCTATCTATCTATCTATCTATCTATCTATCTATCTATCTATCTATCTATCTATCTATCTATCTATCTATCTATCTATCTATCTATCTATCTATCTATCTATCTATCTATCTATCTATCTATATATATATATATATATATATATATAGCTCGTAGTGTGAAAAAAATATTTAAGTATCTCACGAAAAAAGTAAAATGAACTGAACTTTGAACTAGTTCAGAATTAAAAATGTGAACTTTGAACGTGAACTGTTCACTTTGAGCATGTATGAACTGAACTTGAACTAGTTCAGAAAAGCTGTGAACTGACACAACACTGTCCAGAACACTCAGCATTGACACACATGTGGAACGGAGCTTTGGGCCAAGAGACACTTTTGGACCATCCTGTAAAGACGTTTTCGAGAAGTAAGAAGATTCTATATGTTAGCATCGGCTAATTCCTATTCCGGGTCCACCCCCACAGGCCTGGGGTGGTACTGCAGCATGTCATTGGCCTCAAAAATGGCCTCATTTTGGCCATTTTTGAGCTGGGACCCGCCCCCACTGGTTTTGTTAGAGTCTTTCAGTTTCTCAAAGAATATATTTTTTAATGATTTTGTTGGTTGATATTTCTTTGAAAGGCCGAGGTCCAAAATATTTTTGAACCTCAACCTGAGATGTGGACTATTGTTTACTTAATGTCTATTGTGACCATAGACAATATTAAAGACCGGCTTTTTCAAAATGGCCGCGGGTAAATTGTGAAAAAACACATTTGCAGATGCCTTCGCTGCTTTCATCAACACTGTTGATGAGTAAAGCCGAGTCGGAAGCGCGCGGCATTCTGGGGGATGTATCACAGCCGGGCAGGAACCGCAAAGCATTCTGGGAAATGCAAAACAAACAACGGCACCATACCGTGGATCAAAAGTTATTGCTCCAATGCCGTTTCGATGGTTCTGTACGTCCGGGTGAGGAATAACATGTGAAACCAGGACTAAACCAGGACTAAACCAGGACTAAATCAGGACTAAACCAGGACTAAACCAGGACTAAATCAGGACTAAACCAGGACTAAGGGTGCTTTCACACTTGTTGGTCCACTAAAGTGGTTCGCTTGGGCCCTAAAGTTGTTACAATGTTGCAGTTCTCAACTAGTTTGGTTCTCATTCACACCAGTGTTTTTGCAAATGAACCAACCACTGTAGATGTCACATATTCTGCATGTGGTGGCGCTGTTCACAAAATACTGTGTATTGGATGATGTATGTGAAACCTGATTGGTGCAGGATGTGAAGAGGGAAGAATACCAGAAGAAAACAAACTTGTCAGATCTTTAACGATGAACTGTGCTACTCTAGTGTGCGGGTATTTTTTTATCTTCATTGCTTTGTGCAGCACAAATACTGTTGTTCCACTTCCAGTTTGTATCACAGAGATCAGCACGAGAACACTTTGCGGTTGTTTTTGACTATTCTATCATATAAAAAAAACAATGTGTGTGTTAAAAAGTGAGATACGCAACAGAGCAGGGCCATATCGAGGCGGCTCAGTGTTCTCACCAGCAGCAAACCAGACTGGAGTCCACATGGAACCGTACCGAGACCAGCTCCCTAAGGTGGTCTCAGTACGGTTCTTTAGTCCGGACCAAATTTAACTGGTCCACTTTCACACCTGCTCAAACGAACCGTACTTGCAGGTGTTCCAGACTCCAGTCCGTTTTAAGTGGACTAAATGGTGCAGGTGTGAAAGCACCCTAAACCAGGACTAAATCAGGACTAAATCAGGACTAAATCAGGACTAAACCAGGACTAAATCAGGACTAAACCAGGACTAAACCAGGACTAGACCAGGACTAAAGCAGGACTAAATCAGGACTAAACCAGGACTAAATCAGGACTAAACCAGGACTAAACCAGGACTAAACCAGGACTAAACCAGGACTAAACCAGGACTAAACCAGGACTAAATCAGGACTAAACCAGGACTAAATCAGGACTAAACCAGGACTAAACCAGGACTAAACCAGGACTAAATCAGGACTAAACCAGGACTGAACCAGGACTAAACCAGGATTATACCAGGACTAAACTAGGACTAAACCAGGATCAAACCTGGATCAAACCAGGACTAAACCAATCAGAGGCTGATCTAGTTAAACATGTATTTGTCAATCTTTCCTTTTGATTTATCCACACTTTCTCTTTGATCTGTCTGTGTTTGAAATATTTTTTTATAATCTATGAAAGTCATTTTAGTTTTAGAGTAATAACCTTTTAAAGTCCAGATACTATAACGCTCTCATATCGAACCCTCCTGCTGTAGACCGTCCTCAGTATCAGCAGCTCCTGGCAGCCCCTTTAATAGACCTCAGACCAAAGATTTATGATCCTCGAGGCGTCTCTGGAGCTTCTCACGGGTCTCAGCTCAGCAGCACCCACTTCTTCCACAGAAACTACAGATGTTTTGCTGTGGCCTCAGAGCACAAAATGAAGATGGATGAATGTTCCAAACAACGGAAGAAAAAGACAAACATTTCCCGAGACCTGAAGTCCTAAGTTACCGACTGAACGACTGAACGACCTGGATACAGCGCCCCCTAGAGGGCACTGCAGGGTTCCACTGTTCCACTCTGTTTAACAAGAGACTTCAATGGAACACTTAGGAATAGATAGATAGATAGGTAAGTAGGTAGGTAGGTAGATTTAGACTTTATTAAGTAATAATAAAAGTAATTAAATCTATAAAAATGTCCAGATAAATGTTCAACAAGACCAGGTCAGAGAAACCTACAGTGGAAAGATCTTTAAACACAAGACTTATAATATAATATGCCAAATTCTGTGAGCAATAATTATTAATATAACAAATAAAGACTTATTTCATTGAATGCTTTAAAGTCAAGATGGAGAGCACTGAAGTTGAGACGTCCTAATCCGGCTTAAATATTCAGATTTTTAGTTTTACTTCCTTTCTTGATTGTCTGCCTCGCCCTGATGTGTTTCACCTGTGTCTATATGTACCTGTGTCTGTGTGTCTATATGTACCTGTGTCTCTGTGTCTATATGTACCTTTGTCTCTGTGTCTATATGTACCTGTGTCTCTGTGTCTATATGTACCTGTGTCTGTGTCTATATGTACCTGTGTCTATATGTACCTGTGTCTCTGTGTCTATATGTACCTGTGTCTCTGTGTCTATATGTACCTGTGTCTGTGTGTCTATATGTACCTGTGTCTGTGTGTCTATATGTACCTGTGTCTGTGTCTATATGTACCTGTGTCTCTGTGTCTATATGTACCTGTGTCTCTGTGTCTATATGTACCTGTGTCTATATGTACCTGTGTGTCTATATGTACCTGTGTCTCTGTGTCTATATGTACCTGTGTCTCTGTGTCTATATGTACCTGTGTCTCTGTGTCTATATGTACCTGTGTCTCTGTGTCTATATGTACCTGTGTCTCTGTGTCTATATGTACCTGTGTCTGTGTGTCTATATGTACCTGTGTCTGTGTCTATATGTACCTGTGTCTGTGTGTCTATGTGTACCTGTGTCTCTGTGTCTATATGTACCTGTGTCTGTGTGTCTATATGTACCTGTGTCTCTGTGTCTATATGTACCTGTGTCTGTGTCTATATGTACCTGAGTCTCTGTGTCTATATGTACCTGTGTCTCTGTGTCTATATGTACCTGTGTCTATATGTACCTGTGTGTCTATATGTACCTGTGTCTCTGTGTCTATATGTACCTGTGTCTCTGTGTCTATATGTACCTGTGTCTCTGTGTCTATATGTACCTGTGTCTATAAAATGATATAATCTGTAGAGAATAATGGCTGACCAGTCGGGTTCGCAGGTGGTTCCGATCTTGCTGACGGTGTAGCGGTTCCAGCCCAGGACCGGGGGGAAGGTCCAGATGAAGGAGAAGGTCCAGACGAAGAGCAGACCCAGGACCGCATGTTTGGCCTGGAGCCGGATGTTCCCGAGCGGGCGACAGATCACGAAGAACCGCTCGAAGGACAAGACGGCGAGAGACCAGAGCGCCACGATCCCTGAGACAGTAGATGGACGACACAGATGTTAGTCCAGGGGTGTCTGTCATCATTAAAGGGCTCTAATCTGTCTTCATTAAAGGGCCCTAATCTGTCTTCATTAAAGGGCCCTAATCTGTCATCATTAAAGGGCCCTAATCTGTCTTCATTAAAGGGCCCTAACCTGTCATCATCAAAGGGCCATAATCTGTCATCATCTAGGGCCATAATCTGTCATCATCAAAGGGCCATAATCTGTCATCATCAAAGGGCCCTAACCTGTCATCATCAAAGGGCCATAATCTGTCATCATTAAAGGGCCCTAACCTGTCATCATTAAAGGGCCCTAACCTGTCATCATTAAAGGGCCATAACTTGTCATCATCAAAGGGCCATAATCTGTCATCATCAAAGGGCCATAATCTGTCATCATCAAAGGGCCCTAACCTGTCATCATCAAAGGGCCATAATCTGTCATCATCAAAGGGCCCTAACCCGTCATCATCAAAGGGCCATAATCTGTCATCATCAAAGGGCCATAATCTGTCATCATCAAAGGGCCATAATCTGTCATCATCAAAGGGCCATAACCTGTCATCATCAAAGGGCCATAATCTGTCATCATTAAAGGGCCCTAATCTGTCATCATTAAAGGGCCCTAATCTGTCATCATTAAAGGGCCCTAATCTGTCATAATTAAAGGGCCTAATCTGTCATCATTAAATGGCCCTAATCTGTCATCATCAAAGGGCCCTAATCTGTCATCATTAAAGGGCCCTAATCTGTCATCATTAAAGGGCCATAATCTGTCATCATTAAAGGGCCCTAATCTGTCATCATTAAAGGGCCCTAATCTGTCATCATTAAAGGGCCCTAATCTGTCATAATAATAAACTGTTCTTTTCCAATACTTCTTTAACTGATAACAGTAGTTCAGAGATATTTGAATTTCTAAATTACTTTTCCAGCCTCTAAATCTTGTTAATGTTTTCATTTCGATGTCCCGCCCTCCATCGTTTCACCAATCAGAAAGTCTGTGATCCGGGCGCCAGAACTCACCGTGTGGAGCTAATCTCACTGGTGTGAGACCATGTGGCGCAGAACTAAAAAAGGTCTCGTTATGATTCTCAAATCATTAACGACAAAACAAGGAATAAAACCAGGATTTCTATCTTTGTGAAAAAGGTGTTGGTTATAGATTTGTTGTTGACAAAACTCTTGTCTATTCAGCTGTTATGGTCCCAGCTGGATTCGTCTGCATATCTGGCAACCTGAGTCAGGGACAGTGGGAGAGGCTGCAGTGCTGTATTTAAACCTCTATCTCTCTCTCTTTCTCTCTCCCTCTCTCTCTCTCCATGCTTCTCTCTGTCTCTCTTTCAATGTCTCGCTCTCTGTCTCTCGTTCTGTCTCTCTCTCTCTGTCTCCATGTCTCCCTCTGTCTCTGTCTCCATGTCTCCCTCTGTCTCTCCATGTCTCTCGTTCTGTCTCTCTCTCTCTGTCTCCATGTCTCCCTCTGTCTCTCTCTCTATCTCTCTGTCTCTCTTGCTCTTTCTCTCTCTCCCCTTCCTCTTTCTCTCTCTTGTGCTAATGCTAATGTTAGCGTACCTATCAGATTAATACTAAAACTAGATGGCTCTGTGGGAGGAGGGTGTAGGAGAAAGCAAGTTGAGGACGGTGCTAAACATTCAAACTGAAACCTTGCAGAATCAGGTATGTGTCCTTTAAAATTTGGACTAAAATGGACTCGGAATCATCAATCAAACCATTAGCGCTCCTTCGGGACCTTCGGGACCTTCGGGACCTTCGGCACTTTCGGCACTTTCGGGACCTTCGGGACCTTCGGGACCTTCGGCACTTTCGGGACCTTCGGGACCTTCGGGACCTTCGGGACTTTCGGGACCTTCGGGACCTTCGGGACCTTCAGGACTTTCGGGACCTTCGGGACCTTCGGGACTTTCGGGACCTTCGGGACCTTCGGGACTTTCGGGACCTTCGGGACCTTCGGGACCTACGGGATTTTCGGGACCTTCGGGACCTTCGGGACCTACGGGATTTTCGGGACCTTCGGGACCTTCGGGACCTTCACAGAGCGGTCTAAAGCTGAGCCCTCTCTGGCGGCCAGCGGGAGGTCAGGGGAGAAGGGTGAACGCTGGACCAAAACACATTTATTCAGCTCTGCGGCGGAAACACGGAGCTTTGGCCCAGTCACCGCGGCAACTCAATAACATGTATGTATTCTGTCAACTACGCAAACATAGGTTACTGCATCTCATTTCACAAACTTACATAACTCTGAGTCACGCCGTGAGCAAAATGTACCAAGAACGACAGAAGTCAAAGAGGATTTAGAGTCTCAAAAACGTCTGGACAACATGTGGCACTGTTATATTTGGCCGAAAAGGACACGGTTTTCAGTTATTATCATGAAAATACAAGCATTATTTCACAGATTAGTAATAAAGTTTAATAAAGGGGTAAATCCTTGGACTATACTATAAGCCGTATAACATTTGACCTGGATTATGTTCAATCCATTTTTGATTTAATTCATTTTGATCAGAAAACAAACTCATAGCATCTAAGTATAAGGTCAAAACACTGATAATAACATGGGGATTTTGTTATATAGTTCCAGTAGTGATAACCTGGTCTTACCATGTGTAAACTCTGGTCCATGGTCATCTCCTACATGTACCTCTGGTCTTACCATGTGTAAACTCTGGTCCATGATCATTTCCTACATGTACGTCTGGTCTTACCATGTGTAAACTCTGGTCCATGATCATCTCCTACATGTACGTCTGGTCTTACCATGTGTAAACTCTGGTCCATGATCATTTCCTACATGTACGTCTGGTCTTACCATGTGTAAACTCTGGTCCATGATCATTTCCTACATGTACGTCTGGTCTTACCATGTGTAAACTCTGGTCCATGGTCATCTCCTACATGTACGTCTGGTCTTACCATGTGTAAACTCTGGTCCATGGTCATCTCCTACATGTACGTCTGGTCTTACCATGTGTAAACTCTGGTCCATGGTCATCTCCTACATGTACGTCTGGTCTTACCATGTGTAAACTCTGGTCCATGGTCATCTCCTACATGTACGTCTGGTCTTACCATGTGTAAACTCTGGTCCATGGTCATCTCCTACATGTACGTCTGGTCTTACCATGTGTAAACTCTGGTCCATGAGCATTTCCTACATGTACGTCTGGTCTTACCATGTGTAAACTCTGGACCATGGAGAATGTGATAGTAAAATAATCTGTTCTGGTTCAATCCAAATATCAAGAAACTGAAGCCGGAGCAAGAGGAATGTTTAGTAAATGTCATTGAAGCAAAGATGTTGTGGCTCTACTCCCCACGGGCTCCGTTAGTGGCAAAGGAGATGCTAAAGCTAGGCTAATGCTAAAGCTAGGCTACATGCTAAAGCTAGGCTACATGCTAAATGCCTCACTCACTCGGGCTCATTACATACGTCACAGTAAACTCAGATCCAATGGTTTCAATCTGCAAAAGGAGTTAGCCCCTCCCACCTGTTAACGGAGTCACTGGAGCAAATCCAGACCTTAGTACAGAATGAAATGAGTACCATGGTGCGGGAAGACCAGGCTACAACAGTTGTGCTTTGTGAATTTGACCATTAACATGAGTTGGACTTGTCAATTCAATTCATTTTGTACAGTCCTAAATCACAACAGTATTTATCTCGGACGACATCACTATCAAAAAAATCAATCTGTAAATCTGTGGTATTTAAAACAAAACCTTCAGCCTGCAGTAATATATTCTAATGAAGCTTTAATGTAGTTTTGGAACAGCTGTTTTGACCCTAACTTTAAACGTGCGCCTTTACCAGACTCCCACAGAGCCATGTTTGAGTAATGATCCTGACGCTGTGCATTTGTAATAACCTGAAATAGTCTAATGAGGACGGCGGTCACCTCCGAGCTCCAAAAATATAAATTATGGCAATAAGTAATTTTCATAATCAATTACAGCCTCCTAGCACTACAGGTACAGCTAATGTCCCTCTGCTCTCACCGTACCGTTGCTCTCTCACTGGTCTCTCTCTGGTCTCTCTTCAGCCTCTCTTCAGCCTCTCTCCGGTCTCTCTCTAGTCTCTCTCTCTGGCCTCTCTCTGGTCTCTCTCTCTGGTCTCTCTCTCTGGTCTCTCTCTGGTCTCTCTCTGGTCTCTCTCTGGTCTCTCTCTCTGGTCTCTCTCTCTGGTCTCTCTTCAGCCTCTCTCTGGTCTCTCTCTGGTCTCTCTCTGGTCTCTCTCTGGTCTCTCTCTGGTCTCTCTCTGGTCTCTCTCTGGTCTCTCTCTGGTCTCTCTCCGGCCTCTCGCTGGTCTCTCTTCAGCCTCTCTCTGGTCTCTCTCTGGTCTCTCTCTGGTCTCTCTCTGGTCTCTCTCTGGTCTCTCTCTGGTCTCTCTTCAGCCTCTCTCTGGTCTCTCTTCAGCCTCTCTCTGGTCTCTCTCTGGTCTCTCTTCAGCCTCTCTCCGGTCTCTCTCTAGTCTCTCTCTCTGGCCTCTCTCTGGTCTCTCTCTCTGGTCTCTCTCTGGTCTCTCTCTCTGGTCTCTCTCTCTGGTCTCTCTTCAGCCTCTCTCCGGTCTCTCTCTCTCTGGTCTCTCTCTCTGGTCTCTCTCTGGTCTCTCTCTGGTCTCTCTTCAGCCTCTCTCCGGTCTCTCTCTAGTCTCTCTCTCTGGTCTCTCTCTGGTCTCTCTCTGGTCTCTCTCTGGTCTCTCTCCGGCCTCTCTCTGGTCTCTCTCTGGTCTCTCTCCGGCCTCTCTCTGGTCTCTCTTCAGCCTCTCTCTGGTCTCTCTCTGGTCTCTCTCTGGTCTCCCTCTGGTCTCTCTTCAGCCTCTCTCTGGTCTCTCTTCAGCCTCTCTCTGGTCTCTCTCTGGTCTCTCTTCAGCCTCTCTCTGGTCTCTCTTCAGCCTCTCTCTGGTCTCTCTCTGGTCTCTCTTCAGCCTCTCTTCAGCCTCTCTCTGGTCTCTCTCTGGTCTCTCTTCA